AAAAAAAAAGTTATACAAAGATATTAACTAGTAACAAAAGACCATCTCTATTTTATTTTGAGGTTTTGTTTTGTTTTGTAGAGCCACAAGTTCTACTTAAACGCCACCCTCCCAAATTGTTTACCCTTTTATTTTGGCATTATTCCACTAAACTCTCTGAGGCTCTGGCCAAATCTAACTCTTAAATATTTTTATGTCTGTTTAAGTGAGGATAGTACCACCTGTTTTATACTAGAATAATATTCATCTTGCAGTCTGCTCAATATGAGAAATGTTTTAAAATGTTAAGCCATCTAATTTAAGCAGATTCAAGCAAAAGTATTTTAGCTACTCCACATTTTTGTATTTGCCATGCTTCACTGGGTCAAAAATTTTCTCTCAAGTTATTTAAAATAAGATTAGTGATCACACAGTACTGTAGTGAGGATAGCATTAAGTCATAGGAAAATTTCATTATTTTATGCTTAGTTACACATCATAAATGACTAGAGCTCTACCATAGGACAAACTTACATGGTTGGGATCCCTAAACAACCTTAAACTTCTGGAAGTCAAAATTAAACTATGAAATACTAGATAATACATCAAAGTAGAGTATACTCCAGCACAAAATATATTCTTTATTAAATCAGTATTTACTTAACACTTATTATATGACAGATAAAAACAAACATTCAAGTTAAACTGTCAATAAGCACCCAAGTAATAGACAGGAACCAAAAATAAACAAGAGCAGACAAATATTTAATATCAAGGGTTGATAAGTGCTATGAAGAAACTTAAAGAAGGTGCCCTGGCCACATAATCAGCTGGTTAGAGTGTTGTCACCATTTGCCAAGGCTGCAGGTTTGATCCCTGGTCAGGACACAGAGAAGAATTGACTGGTGAATGCATCAAGTGGAACAACAAATCAATGTTTCTGTCTCTCTCTCAATTCCTCTCTCTAAAATCAAAACATTATATAATATATAATACATGTATATTAAAAAAACTTAAAGTAGAGTACTGGGCTATACAGTGATGAGGGTGGGTAGGGTGAACGGATACCATTTCATTGTGGGTATTAAAGGAATACTCTCTAACAATGTGACATTATGAACTGAATGAAGTGAGGAAGAAAGCCATGCAGATTATCAGAGGGAAGAATGGTCCTAGCACAGGAAGCATCCCAAAAATCCTGAGATAAGAGCATTCTTGCTGCTGTTAAAAAAAAAAAATGTTTTGCCCTGGCCAGGTGGCTCAGTTGGTTGGAGCGCGGTCCCATACACGAAAAGGTTGTAGGTCTGATTTCCTGTTAGGGTGTGTACTGGAGGCAACCGATTGATGTTTCTCTTTCTCCCCTCCTCCCCACCATGGGTCCTATTTCTCTGGAGAACCTGATTAATATAACTTCCTTCCTTTTCTGGTCTGATGAATTGCCTCTCATTTGGTATCTTCTTTTCTACCTCTGCCAATTCTAACACATTGTGTACTTGACTGCCAAATTACTATTAAGACACCTTCTTGCTCATATTATCATTATCACCCTCCAATACCTTTCAAAGCCCCCAAAAGGCTGTAGAAATTAAACTCCATGGCCTGTCATTAAAACCCCTCATCCTAATCCACTGTGGCAGCACTACTCTGATGACCAATGAAACACAGCTTTGTACACAGTCTCCCTCCCATAACTCTGCACTGGGACCAGTAGACTGTGGTAGAAGTGACGCTGTGCCAGTCCAAGGACCAGCCTTTTCACTGGTGCAGCAGATTCCACTTCCCCCTCTTTGAAACACTTGCTCTTGGAAGCTCTCTTTCTGCTAGTCCCTTATTCCATTTATGAAGCATTAACAGTAATTTTGATCAATGTGTATGCAGTATAACTGACAGATGCATCCATGATTCCCCTGAACTTAATATAATTTTTCCTCTAAGCCCTGAAAGCATTTTTGTACCACTTAAAAAGGAACAAACCCCTGGCCAGTGTGGCTCAGTTGGTTGGAGCACCAAAAGGTGGTGGGTTCAATTCTCGGTCAGGGCACAAACCTAGGTTGCAGGTTTGATCCCCAGTCAGGGCACGTATGGGAGGCAACCAATCGATGTTTGTCTCTCACATTGATACTTCTCTCTCTCAAATCAACGAACATATTTTAATTTTTTTAAAAGAAACAAATACTGCCCTGGTCTGGTAGCTCAGTTGGTTAGGATGTCGCCCTGATATGCCAAGGCTGCAGGTTTGATCCCAGTCAGGCCATGTACAAGAATCAACCAATGAATGCATAACTAAGTGGAACAAAAAACTGACGTTCTCTTTCTCTCTCAAATCAATAAATAAATTTAAAAAAAAACAAACATATTTTGCCCAGTACTATAGTTATTTTATTCATTCACTGCACGTGTAATGGGCACTTACAGTGTGCCAAATATTATTCTAAGTGCTGACAATAAAGCTAATATTTTACATGCTATTCTATATACTATTCCATATGTTGGACACTGTTTTAAGCACTTTTCTGAGTTACCTCACTTATTAACTCTCCATGCTTCCCCCCATTAACTGATGAAAATGTTCCATTTCAAGATCAGGCAGACAGAAAGTAGGATGTTAGATGGCATGGCAGTATCAACTGAACGTCATTACCATCTGTTACCTTCTAAATAGGTTACTGGAAACAAGGTGACAGACAGGCTAATTCTTTATGGATAAGTATCCATATTACATCATCATAACTAGTACTCATTTGCACCTTCAATAAAAAACTGCCACAAAGGGAAACAAAAACATTCAAATGATAACCCGAATTATGAAAAAGTTCTTTAAAATGTTTAAAAATATAAATAGGCTACTAAAAACGCAGAATACTGAAAGACTTACAGGGCATATTTCAAATTCAGTATTTTCTATATAACTTAAATGAAGGAGGGCATTGCACAGTTTGAGGAATAAAATGAGGTACAATTAAGGAGTGTGTGTAGCCCTGTACAGATGGCCTGATCCTAACACAAGATGTTAACAAAGCAAGTTGGTGGGGGGAGGGGGAAAGCCTGCGTTTTCTATACTATCATTTTGCTGACCTCATCCCCCAAAATATTTTTAGGTGGGGGGTACTTAGCATTGAAGGATCAATAACTTCCAATAAACAGAAAATAAATTTCTTTTAGATTATGTGTTCCAAATGAATCTACTTACTGTTTTCAAATGTGTTTGGGAAGTCATTCTTGGTTATTTTGATAAATAACATTTGGAAAATATGACAAGTAGATTTTAGTTTCTTGCCTCAGAAGTATTCTGCTAAAAGAAATAACAGAAGTAACTAAGTAGCATTTGTTGCATTTACCTAATAAAACATTTTTTTCATTTAAACATAAAAAATGCTGCACAAAAACCTATCATTGTTCACACAAGAGAAAGTAATTTTAATTTGTAAATTATCGTTTTCAATGCAAAAGCTACTTGAAAAATGATAGTCAAATTACCACCAAAAAATAATAATGGGAAAGGTGCCAAACAGCTTTCATATAACTCCTTAAAATGTCTTAATTGTATATAATAAAAAGTTATGACTATTTCCAAAAGGTTTCAGTATTTAAGTATTTATTTCCAAATTGTCACATCACTTTTTTTTTTAAATTCCAGGTCTTTTAAACAAAGGACCTAAGATTTTCTAAAGGAGCTGATTTCCTTTTTCTTGAACCATATTTTTCTGAATTTCTCACAATCATCCCAAGGTACTAAGACAAAGACCAGCTTATCTTTGCACTTATTTTCCAGATCATGAACGTAGAACTTTCATAAAGACAAAGATAACCTAGAACACTGTAATATATAAATTTTTAAAAAAGTTCACTTCTGTTGTGACAATAATGAAGAAATCTGATGAGATAAGGCCAAAAAGTTTCCTGTTGGTAGTTGAAGATGAAGTCATTAGCAACCCAGGATTTCCCGGTCCTTGTAATGAGAAGCTGCACCTACCTACCAGATTCAGCATTGTTCAGCAGAGGTGGCTTTAAAACACCCCGCTCTCGAATCGCAAAAACCAGACCACGCCTTCCAGTTATCATTCAAATGACGGTTTCACAAAGTGGCACTACTACTCGTTTCCCGCGAACTTAAATATCTAGTAAGCCTCAACGTTTTAGATTCCCCTGGTCATGCTGGAGCAATGAACTCTTGAACCCCACGCTCCATAATGAACCAGGGCTCCAGGAGCCGAGATGGAGAAGCATGCTTCTATTATCCAACTTTCATGGCCTTCACTGACGCCCCTCTCCAATTTCTTTTCAACTTCTAGTCACCCCAATACATGGAGGGCAAAGAAAGATTCCTTACTTCCTGCTGTTGTTGAAAGGGAAGGAAACCAAAGAGTAACTCTGAACGCATGGAAGAGAAATAGCTTAATCTTGGCCACCACTACAAACATATGTCACTCAGCTCGCAGCAGCATTCGCGCGCCACCAGGACCCCTCCCGGGGCCCCACACCCCAGGGATTCTCTCGCAATCCAGCCCTCCTGGGTCCCCCAATGTCAGCGACGCAGCTCGGAGCCTCTTCCTCTCCCGCCTCCCCCCCCGCGCACTGCCAGGGCCCCCAAGACCACATTGTCGGTTCCAGTACAATGGAATGTCATCGCCCCGAAGTCTTCCGAACTCCCCTCGCCCCCCCCCGGAGGCACTCTCGGGTCTCCGAGACAACCGAGTTCAGCCACGAACCCAAACTTCACGATGTGAGAACCCAGAACCCGGGAAATGACGGAGACCCACGACTCCCGCCCAACCTTCCCTTTTACTCACCGTCCCAGCTCAGTCCCAGGCGCGAATCCCGCACTGGGCGCCCCAACCCACCCCTAGACAACCGCAAAGGAGTCATCAATCGCCTCTCCCGCGGGGGACGAGGTGGGGGAGACCAGTGGAAGGCTCCTCGCCTGGCCCGGACCCCTGGGCGGCGCTGCGCAGGGGCGAAGGCCCCAAATCCATCCCCGGCCTTGCCTGGCCCACCACGACCTCGCCGCCCACCCTCCCTACCTGGCCTTGAGGCTGGGGCTGCTGCCGCTGCTGCCGCTGCTACTGGCGGCGGCGGCCGCGGCTCGGGGTTCGTAGGCCCAGGCAGTGGCGGGGGTTTGTGCGGCTGCGCTGGCGGCGGTGGCGGAGGCCGGGGCAGCGGGGGGCGCGGGCGGCGGCGGCGGCTGGTCGGCGAAGCCGGAGGTCGCGTAGTTCCTGTCCATCGTGGGGGTTGCGTAGGGAGGGCGGGCAGCAGTGGGGGCTCCTCTAGGGCCCTGTGTGAGGGGGGGGTGGGAGGGGGAGGGGCGGGGGAGGAAGAGGAGGAGGCGGCGGCGGAGGGAGCTGCCCCCTCACATGGCCCCGGCCGGCGGACGGGCGGAGGGCGCGTTGGCTAGTCTGCGCCTGGGAATCCTGGGCCACGACGCGCGGCGAGGCCCCAGCTGGGCGTCAGGGAAGCGGCGGCATCCGCGGCCCGGACTCACGGCGGCGGCGGCGGCGGCGGCTTCGCCCCATGTTGGTGGATTTCCCAGGATGCACTTCCCGCCCCTCCGCCCCGCCCCCTCCCCCCGGCTCCCCGCACTCGCAGCTCAAGGACCAAGAGGGGCGGCCCGCGAGGCCTCAGCCGTCACCGGCCGCCTCTCGATGGTCACCTGGGGCAGTAAAGACTGGAGGCCTCCTCAGCCCAGCCGGCCCCGGGGACCCACAGGGGCGCCCGCCAGCAGTAGCCCGCGGGCCGTGGACTTTCCGCAGTCGGGGGCTCCAAGGATAGCTATCCGTTCGCCGCGCCCCGCGTGGGAGGGGGCCGCGCCTGCTGTTCGCCCTGCGCGAGGAAGGGGAAATTGAGCGGAAACCCAGCTTCGGGGTCTGCAAAGGAGAGAGACTTGTCAACGCTTTGACAAATTTCGTTATTTGACCCTTCGAATTATTTTGAGTGACCCAAATACTCAGTTCCCACATCACGATTTCTTTCTCTGCGTCTAGTCCCAAACCAGAAACAGCTGAGAGGGCTGTTTTGCAGTTCCGTTTACTCCCTTCCTGCCCAAAGCTTGCTCGGCTAGGGGACCCTTTTCCTGCTGTTAGGGGAAGGTTTATAGTTAAAGAGGTTCAAATTCAAACGTATTATTTTCCAGTCTTCGTTGAAAAGACCTTTCCCAGGGGCTCTTATTAACTGTGTCCACCCCCACCTTGGGGATTTTCTCGTCCTGGATTTTAGAATCTTCTATCCCGAGGTAAATAGTGGCTCTTCATTGATTAATCCAGCTACCATCTGGATGACTTTAATTACAATAAATTTAAAGTCACTAAATACTTTGTGTTAGAGTTTTTTGTTTGAGACTTGGAATCTCAGCAGGAGTCTTTACCCAAATACATCCTATTTGTTGGGTGCACGGTAATCATTACTTGAGGTTCTATTGCATTTGAGCGTGTGTTCTACGCTAGTAGCAAAACAAAAGTCATAGAAAACACGTTTTGTCCTTAAGGCATAAAGTAAAAGTTAAAAATAAGTAAAGTTTATATTTATTGGCCACTTCCCTTAAAAAATCAATACTGGTTTAACACCTATTATGTGCTTAGCACTGAAATCTATCCTTCAAGATAAGCCTAATATAAAGGTTTAAGCAAATCAGGCAGACATGGAAGACCCAATAAATTTGATACATTATCTCTGATCACCATTTTAAAAGCAGTTTAGATTTCGCTAATACCCGGTATTGGATCAGCTATTTCTTTGGAGATTAATTTTGTCCTGGGAGATTGTTTTCCTCCTGGCGCCTACATCCTTTTGTTCCTATTCATTCCTTTTTGTAAGTCTTTCGGCACCTGTGATGCTTGTAGTCCGGTCCTGGGGTGGGGAAGCAAGGAAGTGAGTAATGGTTATTTACAAATGAATTCAAACGTGTAGACACAGTGACCTTGCCAATTTTATGTTAATTCCAGTATGCATTTACTGAGGACATCTTTGAAAAGTGGTCTTCCTTGGGGAAGGAATTTGCCAGATAATCCGAGATCCTGTGGAGAAGTAACATAAATCTTCTTTACAACATTTATTTTCTTATTGCAGACTGGAGGTCTGTAATCTAAATAAAACAAAAAAGTGTTCACTACTGGCTATTACGGTTATATGTACTTTTGTGAGCACTGAAGTTTTGTCTCTATGGGAAGTGTAGGAAGTGGAGTGGCATGCTATAAATGTTTTATGGCACTTAGTTTGAGATACCCACAACTGGTACTCAGAGTGAGTTATGCAGGCAATACCAAACAAGTGGCAATAAAACTTTTATAGTCCCTCACACCATTATGTAGTTTGTTTATGTCACATAAATCAGAAAAAAAAGAGATTAAGGGAAATTTTTAGTATTTTTAAAATAATAGTACTCTGTCATCATATGTGATGTTCCTTTGTTCATTAAGTGAAATTACCTTAATTTGCCCTAAATCAATACACATATATTTCCAGTGTTACAACAGGTCTACAAATAACATCATTAAATCTTTTTGGTAAAAATCAATGATAACTGAAAATGTCTCCTCCCCTGCTGAAAATACACTCCCAGTGCTGCAAACTTTTCATGATCTCTTTCAAATAATCTCCCACTAGGCTGCTTTAAATTTGATCTAGACAGTGTCAAAAGTCTACAATGAGCCTTGTTCTTGTTTTAAATAAAAATGGTCATTCCATTCTTAACCTGTGGAACTATTACTCATCCCTCAAAATCCTGATCAAACATTCTGATTTCCATGATATTACCCCAGCTTGCCAAAGCAAAACCAGTTGCTTCTTTTTCAGTTGCCCTATGGTGCTGATTATACTTACTATATTTAATGCTGTCCTGTTCATTAAATTTAGTTGTGTATCTGCCACCATCCCTCACAGATAATGGTGAGCTCCTTAAAAGCAGCAGTTACATTTAATCTATCCTTGTAGCTCCAGCACATAGTGCTATGCCCGACATTATAATGGGCTCTAAATACATGTTTATTGAATGAATACATACATATACTATTTTTAAAATATTCAGAAAGTTCATCTGGTTGTTTACATACCCCTTTCAAAACAAACCAGAATTTCTATTTCGATCCTAAAATTGGGGGACAGTATTTGAAAATTGATTAAATCAAAGGCAGTTTGGTTACAAGACGAAGTGAAATCCTCCACTTAAGGAGTCTTTCTTCCTCCCCCACTCCCTTCTTCACCTCCTTCTGAGTTTATCGTCCAGGAGTTAGTGATGGTTTAGACTATATCCATGAACAGTCTCCCCACATTTTCCACATTTCCCAATCTTCCTCCTATACCATTAAATATCACTAAATATTTCAGAACTGACCAGTGTGGCTCAGTTGGTTGGGCAATGTCCCGCAAAGCAAAAAGTCACCGGTTTGATTCCCGGTGAGGGCACATGCTTGGGTTGTGAGTTTGGTCCCTGATATTTCACCATCAATGTTTCTCTCCCTTCCTTCTCCCTCTAAAAATAAATAAATGAAAACAATTTTTTTTAAATCACTAGGTATTTCAACTGGTAGATAGTTTGGAATTAGACTGAGTAGTTCATCACCCTCATTTTGTTGTTGAGGAAACTGAAGCCCAGGATTCAGCAACTTGCTTTAAGATAATGGGGCAATCAGTTGAAGGAGGGAGCAATAGAATTTCATGTCCACTGAGGCAGCCTTATTTATTACCTGGTTGGGAAATGAAGAATTTGGGTCTGCCTGACGAAAAATGTAGTCAATAAGTACATATATTCCAATGTTACAAATATACCAATCAGCAATTAGACCTGAGAAGGTCAAGTGTGCAGTTTCATTGAGAAAATATCAGGGGTATGTTTGTGAGAACTGGGTTGATTGGGGGAAGGGGACTTAGTTTTTCATTTTTCCTTTCTCTTCTGACATTGGGGGAAACTATAAGCTCTGTCTTTGCCAGGGCAGCCCTATTTTTATCTGTTAGGTCAATGTCAGAAATTAAATTAAAGCATCGGAAATGAAGGTAAGTTCCACTATCATTTTCTTGGCCTCTGAGGCTTGACCCTGTCCATCATCTTTGGCTGCCCTCTCAGTTGCCTGTCACACCCCACAGAGAGACAGCAATGGAGTCCAAAGAGCTGTGTTTAAGCCTGCTTCTTTGGAAGCCACAGCCTTACTGGGAAGTGGCACTAAAAGGCGAGCAGAGCTTCACAAAGCATCTTTGGTCATCAGTTTTGTATGTGTAGGGAGAGGTCTGAGCTATTGATACGGATGGACTCGAGGGCTCTAGTGAATAGCTTAGCTGATCAAGGGTCTGGAAGAAGCAAGATTGAATGATTGGAGACCAAGACATCTGGGAATGAAATGCAATTTAATTATGCGCTAGAAAGGTAGGGGTGTGGCCTGATCATAAAGTCTTTCACTGAGTGTATATTTTATCCTTCTGAATATATGAACTCATTCTGTAGATGAAGAACTATTCTCCTCAGAATAACCAATATGTATTGAATACTTCTGTGCTGGATCCTGTGCTATAGGCTTTACATGGGTTGTCTCATTTAATCCTCAAAATGTTCTTTAGATGTGGATATTGTTTATTAGTTTTACAGGAAATTGAGACTTAATGAAGTTAACTAACTCTCAAATTCATCTGAGCTAATATAAATCAATAAGGGTGCAGGTGGAACTTCAAACCAGCTGTGTTTGACTCTGAAACACAGTGAGTTTGGTAAAAGGGCTATTGCCAAGTTTCTCCACTAATGAGTTGCTATATTTCCTTTATAATTAATAAGAATTTTTTGGATACTTTAAGACTTTCTAAATTCCCTAGGCATCATTCTATCACCTTTGGTTTTAACATCTATATTAGTTTCCTGTGGCTGCTACAGCAAATTATCACAAACTGGATGACTTAAAACAACAGAAATGTATTGTCTCACAATTCTAGAGGCCAGAAGTTTGAAATCAAAATGTCTGCAGGGCTATGTTTCCCCTGGAGACTCTAGGGAAGAGTTCCTTCTTGCCTATTCCAGCTTCCGGCCGCATTCCTTGGTTTGTGGCCACGTTATCGCCATCTCTGCTTCTGTCGCACATTGCCTTCTCTTCTGTCTGTCTGTCTGCTGCCTTGTCTTTTATAAGAACATTTGTCATTGGATTTAGAACCAATGATGATTTCATCTCAATATACTTAATTTAATTATATCTGCAAAGACCCTTTTTCCAAATAAAATCACACTGACATTTTTTGAAGATTAGGACAGGGACATATATTTTGGGTGACTACCAGTCGACTCATTAGAATAACCATGAGTGATTCTTGGCTAGAATTAAGTATTATTATGGTTACCAAATAGTGATTTTTCTAACTCCATTATTCCTCCTATAATCATTAGTTACACTTCTATAAGAAAGAACTTTTTAAATTATCTACCTATCTGTTTTGATATAGACTCACGAATTCTTATTTTAGTCAAAGAATCAATTCTGCAGATGCAGGTCGTTCAAACCCTATTCATTCCAAAGGAAGGTATGGCCCCTGCCAGGCTCCAGGGTAATAACTTTTAAGCACTTTGAATATCGTGCCTGTTAAGAATATCTTTGTTCAGCCCTGGCCAGTGTGGCTCAGCTGGTTGAAGCATTGTCCAGTAATGGAGAGGTTGCGGGTTCCATCCCAGTCAGGGCACATACAATCCCCAGTCCAGGCACATATGGGAGGCAACCAATCAATGCTTCTTTCTTGCATCAACCTTTCTCTTTCTCCCTTCCTCTCTCTCTAAAAGCAATGAAAATATGTCCTTAGGTGAGGATAAAAAAATAATATCTTTGTTTATCTGAGGGGTTGGTCCATACCAGATAGTTTATGCTAACAATGTGATTTATGATCAGCTTGACCTCTGAAGAGGCTAGAGAATTAAGTTCAGTCACCAGGGCAGTCAGCCATGCCTATGTGACTGACCCCCAATAAAAGCCCTGGACATCTAGGCTCAGGTGAGCTTCCCTGGTTGGCAACACTTCGTGTGATTAATGTCTTCAGGACATTATAATAACGGGAGAGGACAACTGCAAACTTGCACCTGGCCTCCCATCTCTTCTGCACTATGTGCCTTTTTCCATTGCTGATTTTGATCTGTATTCTTTCACCGTAACCATCAGCATACCTACTTCTCTAACCTATGACTTCCTTATAGCAAATCGTTGAAAGTGAGGGTGGTCTTGGGGATTCTTGAACACAGGGTTCTAATCCATTACCATACTTATTTATTTTGATGTTCAAATAGCCCCATATTTGGCCTGCTACCTCAATATTTTAAATACTTTAGCATACTTCCTTACAATAAGGAGCCATGAGAACCTTTTAAGCAGGGAATGACATGATCAAAGCTGTGGAAAACATTCCCCTGCCCGTCTTCAGCCTGAATGGAACGCTGGTGTACCAGCATGAGAAGCACAGTTCCTTCATAGGTTTACACACACACACACACACATTCATATCCCACCAGCACCAAGAATAACAACAAGAAAAGAAAGACACATCTCACTACTTAGGAAAGACATTTGTCCTGGTTGTCTGCAAATACAACATGAGACAAATATTTTCCAGAGGTTTTGTCCTGGAGGGCTGAACCTCAGAGCGAGGGTGAGGGGGCACTCGCTCTATCTCCAGCTCCTGCTCGTTTATATCCTCTCCCCTCTCGTTACTTCATGATTCCCTTTATCCCAAAGCCCCAGATATGGCTGTGGTAAAGGAGGCTTGTTGGGAAAGGTTTAGGGGTCACCTGATTATTGTGCCTGTTAATGTTAGTACATGTATACTGACTACTAAGCATGTCACTGCTCGGTATCAGGTTCAGTTTTGTCATATTGGATGTCTTGGTTTCTTAAGTTTGAGATCGGGTAGTCTCAAATGTCCTATGAAAGTCAAAAAACCCTCTCCTAAACTTCTGCAAATTCTGGAGAAATGTGTATTTTCTTGCTCAACATGTCTTCAAGTTTTTCCTCTTCCATGAGTGCTTTCTCCTTTGAGGGGAGAAGCTGAAATTCAGGGGAGAAGCTGACTCTTCACAGAGTTCCACACGCAAAATCCACTCATATAGAAGAACATTTATGAGAGTAATAAAGTAAGCACTGGACTCTTCATTATACCAGTTTTATTATATTTATGTATATTCATTTTTCTGCTGCTCATGTAATATGGCTTATTACTCAGAACTTTAAAAACTCAGGTGAGGAGTGCTCACCTCAGCAGCACATATACGAAAATTAGAATGATGCAGAGAAGCTTAGCAGGACCCCTGTGCAGGGATGACACACAAATCTGTGAAGTGTTCCATATTATTTTGTAGCATTATTTACAATTGCCAAGATATGGAAGGAGCGCAAGTGTCCAACAGTAGATGAAAGAGTCAATGGGACATTTACATAATGGAATACTACTCAGCTGTAAAAAAAGAAGAAAGTTTTACCTTTGGGACAGTATGGATGGACTTGGAGAAATTATGCTAAGTGAAATAAGCCAGGCAGACAAAGATAAATACCATATGATCTCACTTGTATGTGAAATCTCATGAACGAACAGAACTAACAAGCAAAATAGAGACAGACTCATAGAGAGCAGGATGGCAGCCACGGGGGTGGGGAGGGGAGGGAGTAAAGGGATTGAGCCAAAAAGAAAAAGGACTCGTAGACATAGACAACAGTGTGGTGATTGTGGGGGAGAGGGGAGTATAAGGGGACTAAATGGTAACGAAAAAATACAGTAAATTATGAAATTAAAAATGAATGAATAAATAAATAACTCACTCAGAGGAAACATTGCTCATGACGTGTGGGAGCAACCCCTCTCGTGCTCACATCACATCCGTGGCTTACCTGAGCGGCCGTTCTGACTTAGCTTCATGCCATGTGTCTTTCTGCACCCTGCTTTCTTTGACATCACTGAAGCTCCCTGGAATTCAAAGGGATTTGCATCTCCCCACCAGCAGAAACCCTTAATCAATGGGGAAGGAAGTCAGTGGATAAACACTCCAGCCTCCTAGCTTCCAGGTGGGTTTTTATGGAAGGCATTTAGCGCCTTTCTCAGTGGTCCTCCGGGAAGTGAGCCTTTGTTGCCAACAACGTGATGAAATGCCCTTGTTTGCCTTGTCCTCCTGCCCTCGCTCTCTCCCTGCTCTGTCATCCTTCCTGCCTCCCAGTGAAACTACCTGCATCTAAATCATTGTCTCAGGTTCTGCTTTTGGGGAAACATGTCTTATACTATTGTTTGTTATAACAATATACTTAATTTTAGTGTTGTAATTTAAGTTTTTGTGTGTCTTGTCATAAATGACTGTCCCAATTCTAAGTAGTTTGAATCTTCTCTTGTCAGCTATGGATTAGCTAAGGGGACAAGGCATGAAGGAATGTTGCTAAAAGTGCTAAAAACTACATCCCAGAGGTTATGTTCAAGAGGTAAAACTGGGACAAACAATCCCAAAGAAGTTATCAATACAAGCTAATTCTAATATACACATATATGTGCAAAGTGCCTTGAATAATCAAAATAATTAATAATTTTTGGAGAAAATAAAGTTGGAGGACCTACATTACTTCTTTTCAAGACTTTCAGAGTCACAGTGAACAAAACATGGTATTGGAATAAGAATAGACAGATCGATGAAACGGAACAGAAACCCCCAACTACATATCATCAAATGATTTACAACAAAGGTTCCAAGAAAATTCAGATAATTTAGTGGAGCAAGGAAAGGTTTATAAACAAACCTTGCTAAAGCAACTGCATAGTTGAATCGGGGAAAATTAACTTTGATCCTAACTTCATATATATGCACAAAAATTAGACTTACATGTAAAAGCTGAAACTATCTAGAAGAAAACATAAAAGGAAATCTTCACAATTTGAGGGAGACAATGATTTCCTGGCAGGGCACACACATAAAAAATGAACATAAGAAAAACTGATAAACTAGTCTCAATCAGAACATAAAACTTCTGCTCTTTGAAACACACTGCTAAAAAAAAATGAAAAGGCAAACCATGATTTGGAGAAAATATTTGCCAAACATATCTGACAAAGAACTTATACCCTGAATATATAAAGAACTCTTCTAATTCAAAAGTAAAAAGATAAACCAATAAAAAGTAGCCACAGATTTGAATAAACATTTGATAACAGAAGATACATGAATGGCTAACAAGCATATAGAAAAATACTCAATACCATCAGTCATCAAGGAAATGCCAATTAAAACCACCATGAGATACTGATACACACCCACTAGAGTCGATAAAACGAAAAACTTTTGACAGCAAGCACTGGCAGGGATGTGGTGCCACTGGAACCTTCATGTAATCTTGTTAGGAGTATAAAATGGTTTAACCACTTTGAAAAACAATTGAGTAGTTTCTTACACATTTAAACATATACCCACCTATTACCAGCAATTCCACTCCTAGGTGTTTACCCAAAAGAATTGAAAATATATGTCCCAAAAAGGCTTATATATGAATGTTCATAATGCCTTTATTTATAAAGACTTATTGATACGCAAATAGATCAATTGTGGTATATCAATACAATGAAATACTATTCAGCAGTAAGTAGGAACAAACTACTGACATATGTAATAATATTCTTCTGAGTGAAAGAAACCAGAGACTGAAGAGTCCATGTCATATAATATGATTTATATGAAATTCTAGTATGAGTAAAACTAATCTATAGTGACAGAAGGTAGATCAATGGTAGGCTGAGGTTGGAGAGTCAGGAAATTGACAGTTAAGGGACAGATGGGAACTTTCTACAGTTGGGATGATAGTTTCATGATCTACATTGGTTAAAACTCATGGAACTGCTGCTCACTGAAGATGGCTTCATTTTATGGCATGTAATTTATACACGAATAAAGTTGTTATAAATGTAAAAAAATATCAGCCCTGACTGGTATGGCTCAGTGGGTTGGGAGCTGCCCAGCAGACTGAAAGGTTGACAGTTTGATTCCTGGTCAGGGCACATGCCTGGGTTGTAGGACAGGTCCCCCATAGGGGCCAGGTGAGAGGCAACTGATAGATGTGTCTCGCACATTTATGTTTCTCTCCCTCCTTTCCCTTCTCTCTAAAAGTAAATAAAAAATAAGAATAAAAAAAGAAAATCTTAAAAAAAAGAAAATAGTACATCAATCCACAAAGTCCAATATTCAACAATTAGGCATCACACAAAAAGTGGAGAAAACAAAGGAGAAGAAAGCAGCAAATAATTATACAATTAAATTTTCTAGAATTGGGGAGATTCTAGAAGTTCCATATTAAAAGGAACCTTTGGCCCTGGCTGGGTAGCTCAGTTGGTTTGAGTGTTGTCCCAATATGCCAAGGTTGCAGGTTGGATCTCTACTCATACAATAATCAACCAATGAATGCATAAATAAGTGGAACAACAACTCAATGTTTCTCTCTCTCTCTTTCTTAAATCAATTAATCAATAAAGGAGGCTTTGGATGCTATGAACAATAAATGAAAATATATACCAAGGCTCAGACTGTTCCAACTCCAGACTTCTAGTTTTGTAGGCCAGTTAGAATCAAATTTTTGTGACTTTCAACCAGGCCTTTCAGACTCTGCTTCCTAATATATTTACCAGTGACCCCTACATCATTTTTTTCCGGTCCCTGTGTGAGAAAAATATGCTTAGAGTCTAAGATCAACTTCAGACAACACTGCACTAACTTTGTTAGGGTGTTTCTATACACCCCCACTTCCCTAATCTCTATGGCTCTAGGTCCCAAAGTTCTCCGTTTTGACTTGTGGTTCTGTTGGAAGCATATTACTAAGCTGTCGTGAGAACAGTTTCAATTTTAAGATGAAGTGTGGCTATTCCACCTCGTTTTTAAAAGTTTGTTATCTGTGTTTCTTTCGCTATTTTGTCACTGTAATACAAATCTAGGATATATTTTTGAATCACTTGAAATTTTATGTATAGACTTCACCTAGTAAAATATTCCTTAAAAATTATTCCTAAAACAATTCTTTTTTTCCTACTCTGCAATAGTATATAAAGAGGCACTTTTAAAACTTTCAGTTGGTCCTAAGAAAATGTTTTGTTGTCCTGACCATTGTGGCTCAGTTGGTCAGGCGTCGTACTGCAAAGCAAAAGATCGCCAGTTCCATTACCAGTAGGACACATGCCTGGGTTGCAGGTACAGTCTTTGCTCGAGGTATGTTCTCGATCGGTGTCTCTCTCTCTCTCTCTCTCTCTTTCTTCCTCCCTTTCCTTCTCTCTAAAAATTAAGAAACCTTTTCTTTTAAAGAAAATGTTCTGTCTTACAAGCCATTTTTAAAATAAACAACTTTTTACAGCAGTTTTAGGTTGAGAGCAAAATTGAGTGGAAAATACAGAGCTCCCATTATATCCCATTTGCACAGCTGAACAAGATCCCCTACTACAACATCCCCCACCAGAGTGGTACATTTGTTACAATCAATGAACCTGCATTAACACATCATTATCACCCTAAGTCCATAGATTACATTAGGGTTCACTCTTGGTGTTATATAGTCTATGGGTTGGGACAAGCGTATGCCATGTATCCATCATTACAGTACCATACAGAGTAGTTTCACTACCCTAAAACTCTGTGCTTCACCTTTTCAGCTCTTCTCCCCCGACCCACCATAAACCCTGACAGCCATTGATCTTTTTAGTGTCCCCGTGTTTTGCCTTTGCCAGAATGTCACATATTAGAGTCATCCAGTATGCAGGCTTTTCAGGTGGGCTTCCTTCACTTAATAATATGCATATATTTCCATCATGTCTTTTCATGACTTGATAGCTCATTTCTTTTTAGCATTGAATAATATTACATTATCTGAATGTACCACACTTTTCTATTTGCTGACCGAAGGAGATCTTGGTTGCTTCCAAGTTCCGGTGATTATAAACGAAGCTGTTGTAAACATCTATGTGCTGAATTTTGTGTGGACATAAAGTTTTCAACTCACTTGTATAAATACCAAAGAAGACGATTGTTGGATCAAATAGGAAAACTATATTTAGGGTTTTTTAAAAGATTTTATTTTATTTTTAGAGAGAGGGGAAGTGAGGGAGAAAGAGAGGGTGAGAAACATTGATGTGAGAGAGAAACATTGATCAGATGCCTCTTGCATGCGCCCCAGCTGGGCACTGAACCTGCAACCCAGGCATGTGCCCTGACCAGGAATCAAACTGGCGACCCTTGGCTTTGTGGGAAGTCACCCAACCAACTGAGTCACACCAGTCAAGGAGAGAAGAGCATGTTTAGTTTTGTAAGAAATTGCCAAATTGTCTTCCAAATGACTGTACCATTTTGCATTCCAACCAGTAATAAAAGAGAGCTTCTATTGCTGTACATCCTTATCAACATTTAATGTTGTCAGTGTTTCCATTTTTGGCCTTTTTAGTAGGTGTGTAGTGGTATCTCTTTGTTGTTTTAATTTGCAATTCTCTAATGACATGATGTTGAACATCTTTTCATATACTTACTTACCATCTGTTTATCTTCTTTGGTGAGGTGCCTGTTCAGGTCTTGCCCATTTTTAATACTGGGTTAAAACTTATTGTTGAGTTTTAAGAGTTCTTTGCATAATTTGGGTAATGGTCCTTTATTGTCTTTTGCAAATATTTTCTCCTAGTCACTAGCTTGTTTTCTCATTCCCTTGATTAAAGTAATTTTAATGCATAACTCAATTGGATCCAAAAGATTTAAGGTAATCTAAATGTGTAACACAAAGTAATATTTAATAGTAATCAGGGTTTATCAATGTGTATGCTACTTAGTATTGCTTAGTGTGTTTCTCTTAAGCTACTTGTATAATTTAGTATACCATTACTATATTATCTTCTGATTTTTAAATTATATATAGACATAGGTCACAGAATTAAATTCAATTTTAAGGAATAATATATTATAAACTTGCCTCAAACAATAAAGTAAATATTAAAACTGTGTTAAAGAGAATAGCACTTTCACAACTACAACTAAATTGTTTAATAGAATGCTAGCCCCATTGGGTGAAAGATATATAGAGCAACACCATGCTGTCAATGTTGTTTTGAAAACATGCATTGTTTGTCACATTTAATTTATATAGTTATATGCCACTATGGGAGGAAAAAATATGTTTCATTGAAATGAGCAACAAATATTTACTTAGTATAAAGTTTATTCACATGTATAAAAAGTGTCTGAAATAGGAAATCCATTAAAACCAAAACATAATCAAGGCTATAGGAAATATACACATTTAAAAAAAATGAACTTTTTTCCCAGATAATGAAAATACTGATATGCTTGTACTGAACTGCCCTAAGGTCTTAACTTGTTAGGAAAACATTTTTAAACAACATAAAAACTTGGAAGAAACACAGAATATAGAAGATTGAAAATATCCATGTGTCATACATGTTCTAAAATGCCATATAGGCGACCTACAGAAAGAATCTAGTAAAAAAAATACAGAAATTCAACCCATATTCTAGACACTCTTTTAATAGTATAACATCTTAGGCAACATTTGAAATCAAACTCTTAACTAATAAAATTTAATTCACATTCAATTCAATATAAATAATATGAAATTGAGCTTTTGAATGAATATCACTAGCAAACCTTTTCTCATTAAAAATTCTCTTGTACCTCCAAGAAGAGTATACACACACATAAATTATCTATTAAATAGAAAAAAATTGATTAGAATTTTACAGATAGAAGGGAAACCAAAGACACAGAGGACACATTTGTTCTAATTTTTTAATTGTTCTGAGAGTTTTTACCCATTCTTTTTATGTAGAGGGAATATTATTAACAGATGTAAAACTTTCACACAGATTTTGTGCTCTCTTTAATTTTTTTCATTTTGAAAAGAGAAATTCTATGTAGAATTATCTATTCTACTGCAGGTATAACCTTTTATATGTATATTTCTCTTTTTCTAGTCCAATTTCCTTTTTATACCTATATTCCATTTATTTCCTGATTGTAATAGAGGGGGGAACTCATCTAATTAAACATAAAACTTTTTGTCAGAATAGATTTAATGGTTAACACTAATCAGTTGCCTGGGGGAAAAAGCACAAACAGAAGAGATCAAACAAAAAAATCCACCACTAAAAATATAACAAGGATAGAAAAGGGTAGATGAAGCAGAAATACATGTCAATAATTTTACATTGTTATTTTCCTTTCAATCATTTATAAGCATTTGTTGATTATGTATTTATCACATTTTCTTTTTTATATTTAAAGTATTACAGGGTTAACATCAAATAAAATAAATAAAAAATAAAATAAAATAAGAAAGGCTCTACAAATATCAGTTGTTTCTCAATCTTAATGATGAATTCTAGGTTCATTCATTTAAGTCAGAGCAACTAAATGATGGCATATGACATATTGAGGCTGCTCCTGTGGGGAAAGGGGTTGTTACAGGTTCTGAAGCTGGCTTTGCAGTTAGGCTCTTGTGAATCAACGGGAGTAAACAAGTTCATAGAATATTTCAAATTATGGTTCAATAAGATATAGCATATCTTATATTTCTGTTCATCCCAAGAAATATGTGTATGACAATACACATACACATATGTGTGTGTGTGTGTATATATATATATATATATATATATATATATATATAGACTTACATACTTTTTTATATATAAATGACAAATGCTTATATGTTTTCATATAGATTTAGAATTAAGTAACGATATCCCTGGATCTCATAATTTGACACAGTCTAATTTTATAGGTACAAGATGTGCCTAGGAAAGTGTGCCTGCTCATTCTAAACCTAGCTCTCAACAACATGTGAGATTTTGGCCAAGTTATCCTTCTATGACTTAGTCTGATTGTTAGAAAGTGAGCCAAGGAGAGTTGGCCTCTGACCTGTTAAAGAGGATTAAAGTAAGTGCAAAGTGCAAGGTGCAAAGTTACATGAGGAAAAGTGCTTATGTAAAGCCACGGTATGACTAATGGTAAAACTTTTATAGGTAATGTAGGTGTCTTCTAGATGATTTCTTTGCGACAAGCAAAAAAAGAGACACAAGGCCCTAAAAGGGCAATGTCATTGGCAGCATGTAATGGTTAAGAAATTGCTTTTATCTGCCTTAAGATCATGCTATCTTAAAGGAGAGACACATACCTACCATAACACGACTTACACTTTTGAAACATTTAATTTGGAATTATCAAATGCATGTGGGTTTTAGTCTCACCTCTGTAAAAATTATAAAATAAAATACAATCTTACAAATGATCTTAAATAATAGAAAAATGCAATGCCTTGTAAAAACAAAGAACAGAATTTTCTGCTCTATTTCTCAGAAGGATATTTCTCTTCTCTTCTTCCCTCTCTCTCCCTCCCCTTCTTCCTTCCTTTCTTGATCCTGGATCTCATTGTTAAATTTTATAGTTGTATTTCTTTAGCTCCTGCAAAGAGCAAACACATTCACACATATATACATACCCACCCACATAAATTTGTGTGCACACTCTCACTCTAGATGTTTATAGCTTATATTCGACGGCATTCTTAAAGAGAGACTGGTCACATACACGATTAGAAGAAGAGACAAAGTATAAATTAAAATGGTTTTCTGTGGTGTTTTGTGTCCAGACATTAAGAGATACAAGGGATTGCTGGTAACTTTATAATCAATATTATTTTAAAAGTAGAAGAGTAAATTACTTTTTCTAGGTTCTCAAGCTACTATGTAGAAAATGCAACAAATTTTCAAGATAAATAATTATATGCAGATATAGTTATATATCGCTAATTTAATAATAAAATAGGTGTGTCTACCCATCAGTAATACAGGTAACATTATCAAGTTTTAGTCACTCCTAGATTTGAGGCTTATTTATTTGTTAGTATAACTGTTCTTGCAAATCCTTGCCATTGCAATCTTCTGAAGATCTAACTCCCTAGCAAGTGTTTTTTTTTTTTAAAGAAAATTACTGATCCCACTCCTCATAATGAAACATGACTGATAGCAAGAGTTAAAAACTCTTAAACAGAGTTATTTAAAACCTGCAAAATATAATGAATGCCATGCAATAATTTAAAATATAAAACCAAGTCATTATATTAAGACTACAAATTGATAATGAAATGTCAAAATCTGTGAAATATTTGCAACCAACAAGGAATTCTAATAAAGAGTGGGCCCAATATTATGACTTGGGATAATCTAATGATTAGGAATTCTTACTTTTTTAATATTCAACACAAAAAACTACAACCTTTATTTGCACAAAGGATACAGCTATTTCATCCATTTTAGCTATGACATCCATAGTGCAGATTTTTTGGAAACAATTAAAAGAACAAAAAAAGTGCTCTCTCGTAACTGCAAGGATATGGAGTCCAAGTTTCTTATCATGCTGATCATGATCAAGTTCAGGTCCAAGATGCTGACAGAACTTCTTTGGGGTAGTACTCATGCTTATTCCTCCTTCTTGCAGTTTGTCATAAAGGGCTGAATTGACATGTCTTTATGGTTTGAGGAAAATGAACAATTCAAATAACATGAATCTGCACCACCAGGATGGCAAGGCAGGTTTAGTGAGATGGGAAAGACATAGACTTTTTAAATACCCTGAAGCCTTTTGCTGGTCCAGGGTATGGTGGTGGCGGCGAAACATTATGTTTTCTGGTCAGTGCCATTGCCTGTTCGTAAGAAGGTAATCCTGTGTCCTCCATGGAAGGTGGTGGTGGAGACAAGACGGCCTCCTCGGATCTGAAAATGATGGAGGGAGTCTGCCTGCCCCTTCTTATGTAGGTGCCTGAAGAACTACACAGAGAGACAGCATTTAGGTCAGGAAAAGGCACCATTGGTAGGTTAAGATGGCAATATTTAAAAATCCAACGGACTATTTTTATAAAAGTTGAACCCAATTTATTAATATAACAGTTTTCTAACAACAGAAAGAGTCTTGGTATAGTGGAAAGATCAAGAGCTTTAAACTCAGACATGGATATGAAACTGGATCCTGTCATTTCTTAGCTATGTGACCAAAGGCAAGTTACCTAACTCAGTTTCCTCCTCAGTAAAGTGGGGATAATAATAGCTATCTCTAGAATAAGAACTCAAAACATGTTACTTCCCCTTTTCTCCTGCTCCTGGATGAAAACTTTCTCAAAGTATGGTTTGAAACCAAACCCAGGCTTTGTGGAAAGGCAGCACAACACCAAGACAAGGAAACTGATGCCACAGATAATCACAACAGCTGATGCCTGTCTCTTTCTCTGGCCTTCTTCCCCTCCCCCACTGTCTGGTGGGCAAATCCCTCCTGAACAGTTCTTTCATCACATCACTCTTCTCTGCAAAAGTCTAACCAGCAGCCTTCTTTCCACTGACTCAAGTTCCAACTACTATGCCTCTTCTTCAAGCCTCCCTTATTCTGGCCTCGTCTTATTTTTTACAGCTCTCTGCTCTTGCCAAGGTAGCCTCTTTAACACTCTACAGTAAGTGCAATAAATTCTGTCCCATCTCTGTGCTTCCACTGGCATGGTTTCCTTTCTCAGACTGTCTTTTCCCTACTCCATTGATCTAAGCCCAACAATTATTTTTTTTTAACATGGCCTAGTTCTAGTCCCACCATTTTCACACAACTTTGTCAGCTACACCAGCCAATGAAAATTGAAATACAGCATGGGTCTGATGTTTTGAACCTACATTTCCCCTGATCACTTGCAAATTACAAATAGATAACTTAAACATTAGTAAATTGATCTGTTTCGACTGTGAAGCTGGCTGTCTCTGAAGTATCATGTGCATGAATTAACTTCCTATAGTTATGGCTAACAAGAATGTTAAAATTCACAGGTAACTACCCTGGCTGGTGTAGTTCAGCGGATTGAGTGCTGGCCTGCAAATCAGGAGAGGCTGTTTGGATTCCCAGTCAGGGCACAGGCCTGGGTTGGGGGCCAGGTTCCCAGTGGGGGGGCATGTGAGAGGCAACCACACACTGATGTTCCTCTCCTTTTCTTTCTCCCTCCCTTCCCCTCTCTCTAAAAATAAATAAATAAAATCTTTAAAAAAAATTCATAGGTAATACCCAATCTCTAGTCAATATTTACAACATCCTTCCCAACAAGACACAGTTTAGGAGACCCAAAATTCTGTAAACTTTTACAAACAATGTTGGTCAATTTGCACCTTAAAACACTTTTTCCTTTGGAGGCAATAATGAGGCCTGAAATTGGAGGGAAGGTGACAAGAAAAGGAAAAGATCTGTGTAAATCTAGGAACTAGATAATCAGCATCAATAGTTGAGAGACATTACAAGTTTACTTAGAGGGCTCAACACAAACAAGTCCTCCTCTGTCAGAAATCTGGAATATTTTCATGGTAGGCCAGTCACTTGACACATTCATTAGCTTGTGATGAAAGGTTCTATTTGTTTGCTTATAGGGAACAGGAGAGAAAGCTCTGTTATTCGAACAAATAAATTTTTTCATGTCAACTTTCAAAACTTCAGGTATAGAAACAATATAATAATTGCATCCAAGTCTTTAAATATTTACACAGCTATTTCTTATACATAGCTTAAATGACTGAAATCAGAAAGTACGCACCAATAACATCTCAAATAAATGGGCATTATATTACACCTATTTTACTCCATAACATAAAGTAAACTAAGAAAGGAAAAGATATTGGGTTTCCCATTTTTTGGTATATTTTTACAGAGAAATGAGAAAAACTTTTCTGACAATGATCTCATTTTTCACTCTTTTCTTTCTCAAATATTTCTTCCCCCATCCCCCTTTTCCAGACTTGCAAAATATAGAAAGAAAACAAATAACTCAGCTGGAAGAATTCTTGGGACAATAGGTGAAATGTACTTTAGTAAATATTTGAAAGTTAATCCCAACATAGGAGAATATTTGGTAAAACCTAGTTTGAAATGTCCTCTAAAACTCAAAGGGTTGCTGTGAGGATCAAAGTGAGACAAAAGATGTAAAAATGATCTGTAAGCTATGTAGCATTATAGTGTACTAATATTAAGTATAAGCAATCTTTTTTTTAAAAATAAGAAAGTATCCAGCGTTTTTAATTTTAATACACAGAAAATATGCATAATAACGGTACCCCTTTGTTTCCTCTCTCTTTGAATTGTGCCGCTAACTTCATATGGAGAAGAAATTAAAAGGTTTCAAAGAAAAAAGGCATAAGATAAGAAGATAGAGTAATGTAAAAAGCAGAAAAATTAAGGAAAACATTGGAGGAGAGAGGAGAAAATGTCATGCAAAGAACACTGAATAATGGCTATGCTGTCACAGACCTTAAGTAGAATTATTAAACACGAGGGCACACATGAACCTTTTTGGAAAAACATGAATGAGGTGGGGAAGGAAAGATAAAAGACAAGAAGAGGGTTTAAAGACAAATTTTGCCTATTTCTTCATTAACCTGTGAATTTCCAGGACTCTACCAGCTTGCGGTCAAAGTGACATTGAGAAAAACCTTAGTCAAAAGTCCTTAAAGATGGCCCTGACCAGTGTTGCTCAGTGGGTTGGGTGTCCACCTGCAAACTGAGAGGTTGCTGGTTCGATTCCTAGTCAGGACACATGCCTAGGTTGCAGGCCAGGTCCCCAGTTAGGCGTGTGAGAGGCAACTGATTGTTTCTCTCACACATCGATATTTCTTTCCCTCTCTTTCTCCCCCCTTTCCCCTCTGTCCAAAAATAAATTTAAAAAAAACTTTTAAAAAAAGTCCTCAAAAAAATAGAAAGACCTCATTTTCTGTCTGTTAAATAAAGGGAAATTAATAGAAGTCACTCAGCTTTAAAAGATAGTGGCTTAAGAAAAATTAAACAAATTCTTCCTTACTTTCCCTCACTTCTCAGATTTTTACAGGATTTACAGAAGTCTCTGACAAACTCCATGCTCATAGGTGACCTTAATGCCTCAGGGATCTCTTCAGGAATTCCAGCTGGGGGACAGAATTACAACTTATGCGGCCTCTATTTTCTGCCCTTTGCTGCTGTGCCTCCTTTCTGTACTCATCCTTACTGGCTCCCTCCTTTGCCTTCTGTTCTTTTTTTTTTTTTTTTTAATTTATTTTTAGAGAGAGGGGAAGGGAGGGGGAACGAGAGGGAGAGACACATCAATGTGTGGTTTCCCCTCACATGCCCCCTACTGGGGAACTGGCTGGAAACCCAGGCATGTGCCCTGACTGGGAATCAAACTGGTGACCCCTTGCTTCTCAGTCCAGCACTCAGTCCACTGAGCCACACTAGCCAGGGCATGCCTTCTGTTTTCTCATCTCACTCAGATCTTGCCTACTCTCATGGCTTCAACTTTTATCCTCCAACAGATGAATCCTAATTCTACATCTTTTGCCCTAAACTCTTATCTTAAAACAGTAAAGAAAAAATGTTATTGTGGCAAATTATATATAATTTAAAATTTGCTATTTTAATTATTTTTATGTATCTAGTTCAGTGACATTAATTATATCCACAATGTTGTGCAATCATCACCATTATCTATACCCATAACCTGGTCGCCATCATGCGTTTGTTCACTTAATTTGAAAGTGTGACTAGGGCAATATAAACATCAATTTTGAATAGCCTGTTTAGCATCTGGGGCCTTTTTTGAATAACATGATTCTACACTTGCTCATCTACATTTACTGAGAAGATAACAGAGAATCATAAGTGTCCAACCTGTGGCCTGCGGGCTGCATGTGGCCCAGGATGGCTGTAAATGTGGCTTAACACAAAATTGTAAATTTACGTAAAACATTATGAGATTTTTTGTGATTATGTGTTGCAATGTATTTAACGTGTGGCCCAAGACAACTCTTCTTTTTCCAGTGTGGCCCAGAGACATCAAAAGTTTGGACACCCCTTATAGAGAATAACTTTTTATTCCTGTAAGTATGCTGAAGTTCTATTATGCAAATAATCAGTTTTATGAATATTCATGAATCTGTTTTAATAAGCTATTATACTCAAGTGGTAATTATTTTATTTTATTAATTTTTATTTAATTTAAAGTATCAGTAAAAATAATTGAATTTAAAAGCTTGTTAATTCTGTTTCTATTTGGGTAGCTACATGGCTAGATCTGATAACACTGTGACTAAGAGTAAACTAAGGAACTTTTTTCCTCTGGAAATAATGTGGGGACACTGGTATCTGCCTCCTGCTCAAGAAGGAAATAGAGAGGCCCTGGCCAAGTGCTCAGTTGGTTGGAGCATCGCCCCAGTACAACAAGGTGGGGGGTCTGATCTCTGGTCAGAGCACATACAAGAAGCAGCCAATGAATACATAAATAAGTGGCACAACAAATCGATGTTTCACTCTCTCCCTCTCCCTTTCTCTCACAGTTTTTTTGTTTGTGTTAAATCAGGCAAGTAAACAACTGTCATGCACTAGAGAAAACTGGGGACACCTAACAACTAAATGCAATGTACTACCTTGATTGGATTCCACAGCAGAAAGAGGACAGTAATGGAAAAATTGGTGAAATCTAAATAAGGTCTGGTGTGTAGTTAGTAGTAATGTACCAATGTTGGTTTGTTAGTTTTACAAATGTACTATATGATATTATAAGATGGTAATGATGAGAGAAACTGGGTGAAAGATATATGGGACCTCTTTGTGCTGTCTTTGCAACCTTCCTGTATTTCCACAATTATTCCAAAGTAAAAAGTTTATTTAAAAAACAGCAGGCATTTTTAATCCATTAAAAAAATAACAGTACAGAATGTATAATAGTGAATTTAATATTTTCACTTGGTACTTACCCTGGATGCTGTTGTCTGCTACACTTAGTGATAAAAAGATAGTAACCAAGTAATCCAAAAATAACCAAAAATACTCCGGCAGCAATTAGTCCAGTCAGAAGGCCTATAACATCAATTTTCTCGCTGTTACCACCTTAAAAAAAATCATTAAAATAACATAAATAGAACTGAAAAACACCTGTGATTTCAATAAATTTAATCCTAAGTCTAAGCACAGTAGTAAGCATTGGATAATCAATATTGATTTTATTTATTTATTTATTTATTTAGTCCTTACCCAAGGAAATTTTTTTCATTTGCTTTTATTTATTTTTTTTTTTTGAGAGAGAGGGAGAGAGAGGAAGGGAGAGTGGAAGGGAGAGGGGGACATACTGACTGAGAATGAAGCAACGACTGGCCGCCCTTACCTGCTCCCAGACCAGGGGCATCCAGCCAGCCCTGGAAACTTATGTGTCCAGACCAGGGGTTACACATGCCGGACTGGGGATTGAACCTGCAACTTAGGCATGTGCCCTGACTGTGAATAGAATCTGCCACCTTTCGGCTACAGGACAACATTCCAACCAACTGAGCCACACAGGCCAGGGCTTATTTTATTTTATTTTACTTTAAATGCGTTTATTTGTTCCAGAGAGAGAGAAAGAGACAAACTGATCAGCTAGGCCTCCTGCACACGCCCCAACCAGGGACCAAACCCACAACCCAGGCATGTGGCCTGACCAGAATAGCACTGGCAACCCCTTGGTGCAGAGGACAAAGCTCCAACCAACTGATCCCTACTGGCTGGGCTTATTACTGATTTTTTAAAAAAATCTTTGCGTTAGACATATGACCTAAAGAATTTTAAAATGAAAGATCCAAAACCCCATAGTTATGGTTTCATTTCTTTTAAATAGTTCATATTAAATGGATCATATTCAAGACTAAGTGGAATAAACATAAACTTTGTTCCACTAGATAACACTTTGATATTAACTACTAAGATAAATGTATGGAGCAACTCTAGTGTATACATGAAATATAGTCTCCCTATAAACTGGGGCCCTACTTAAGTGGAATGAAAGAGTAGATGGCAAAGAACCCACCTGACTGAAAATCAGCTAGAGATGATCAATATGGATAAAAGATAGGATCAAGCCTCTTTAGAAGTTACTTCATTCTAGCTAACAATCTTAATTTACCCAGTAGCATACATATTCCATTAATTTGTAGTGGTTAAAAAAAATTAAAATAGTTTACTACTTGAAACCAACGGAGTACAACTTTTATGCTGTGCAAGTCTTGACTTAGCTGAGTTGTTTAAAGCATTTTTAAGCCTATTATCTCATTTCCCTAGTATCTCACCAAACTTGATTTTCAGTGTATAAAAATACATGAATGTGGCCTTCTCTGTCTTAGATAGCTCAGTGCATAATTGAGAAATCTTCCTTGGATTTACAAGTATGTTGAGCAACAACCAAACTCAAACAATGAAACTGAAATGTATTATAAAAGAGAGGGTGTGGAAAAACATTATTTAATCATTCTTGTCTTACCTGATTTTGTGGTTGGTCGTTTAATCGAATATTCCTGCCAAAATGCCATCTAAGAGAAAAGTAAATTTTCCAAGTTTATTTAATTTCTTTATTATTTCATTTGGTCCCAATGACCTAAACTAGAGGTGGTACATTTTTGGCATGTGCTACAGGTAGGATTCAAGCTAAAGAGTGTGACTCATTCTAACCACAGCACTACCATGTACCACTGTTTCTTCCAGCTCTGGAATTGGTCAGGGGGTTATTGCCAGTGCCACCTCTCTATCACTGTACCCTACTATTCTCCCCTCACCTGCCCAGAGCTCCCACTGGGGCACTGGGAAATTATCGTGAAAATACCAAAGATGGAAGCTGAGGCAGGAAACTCATTTTCGAAAAGGAGTCTGAATTTTTCTGTGCTAGGTGGGCCCTCAGCTTGCTGGATTTTATTGAAAGGTACTTATTGATTTGGCTGTTCAGTGTTACTTAAGAATGGAAGCGGATTTTAAGAAATCATGATAAAATTATAAAATGGGTTTGTGAAGAACAATAAATCTCAACAAGCAGATATTAGCATGAAGCCTGGGCACTATTTAGAGGGAAAACCCCCCCAGCTAAGTTCCATTAATACCTGCATTTGAAGGCTACCTAGAGACGTTCTTATTGACCAAAGAGTAAAATAAAATGGAACTTTTGAGGAAGGGAAGAAGGAGCTGGGGTTATTTAATCTACAAAAGTAAATAATTTGGTCAGTTAACATTCTTCAAGAATATGCTAGATTATAACAAGGACAGTGCTATCCCTGTTTTGTCCTTTTCAAGGTTAACAGACAGGATTAAGTTTCTCCTTTAAATTACAGATATACCAAACAATACACTTCTGAGTGCAGGGACTATATATTTTGTATCTCCAGTCTCTAGCAGAGCACTTGGCACATAGTAGATTGTCAATACTTGAACTGTAAGTACAATAATGAAAAAGGAGAGGTCACTGATAGAAAAAATTGCTCTGAGTTTTGAATGATTAAAGTCTGTGTCAGAGAACTAACTCAAATTATATCCTGAAGTTTAATTCACTCTGCTTCATGGTTGTTTTTGAATATAATAAACATTAAACACACAAAATTACAGCACAAATGAAAATTTGCTAATTACTATAAGCCCAGTTAATTAAGTATAAAGCCAAGTCTAAAATAAAGCTAATTAGCATTTTAAGGAAGTAGAAAGAGATAACAGGTATAGAATAGTGATTTCATTTAAAGCATAAAAGCTCTACTCAATGAAAGTGCCATTTTCTTAAGTACTGTTTAATAAATTTCCAGACAATTAACATCATCAACAAAAATTACCGTTTTATCTTCATCCACAAAAATCTCCTTGGCTTCCTCATAATTACAAAGTTCTTCGTAGCACTCTCTTTCTACGTCGCCAGAAGTGAAGAGCTCCAGATCAAACCTGTTATATAGCAGGTGTCTGTGTATGAAAGAGTTTGCTTCTTCTTTTGATGTAAAGACTAATAAGGAAACAGAAAGATTTCAAACACTAATAAGAGTAAGGAAGAAAATTCTTGTTTAAATTGTGAAAACAATGAATAGTTCCCTTGATGTTGTTGATTTACACCAAATTTTCTTGTATGGTTTTCACATCTGATAAAAAGAAATATCAGTAAAAGTAATTTATGCTAAATATGAAGTACAAATATTAGCATAACTCCAGAGTTGATTATGTCCACAATTATGAACATAAATAAAATTATTTAAATATTGCTTTCCCTCCAGAAAATTATATTTTCCATAAATGACAGGCCAGACTAGTCTATTCCTAAAGAGTTGGTTTCCTATTATCTTGACTGAGAGAAATTAGTCTGATGTAATAGACAGTATTGGACTAAGTGTTAGAAGACAGAAATTCTTGGTTTTAACTTGGCTTAAGCTATCAACTGCATATTCTGGGATAAGCCCAGAATTACATCTCTGGGTTTCCGTTTCCTCACTTATAAAATTAGGGCATGAACTAAATAGTCACTAAGACCTATTTATGTTTTAAAATTATAAATTAACACATTTTTAAAAATTATGAAATTTTTTAATACTGAAACATAAAATTTTAAATTCCTATGTTAATAAAATTATACATTAATTATAAAATTAATCAAAAATTATTAAAGCACCCCTCAAAGGAGTAGCTCCTTCCACCCATTCCCCAAATATATGTCTACAATGTTTTACAAGACCCCCTCTGTATTTTCTGGGAAGGTAAATGGTAAATAAGATAGAGTTACACAGAGGTTATCCCGCCATGGCAGCATTTTCAAAGCCCGCAAACTTGAAACGTGCTCTGATATCATATAAACAAAGCTTAAGCGATCTCACTGCATACAAATCACAATACTGAGACCAGAATTCAGAAACTCACTGAGAACTGCAAAGTGTTGGTATTTCTCACTGCTAACCGTTATTAAAGAGAGAATACAATAAAGCGGGCAATTGAAAGATGAGAGTGAGGGCATGGCCTGGAAGATGAATAACTGATTTGTGGGTGACCTCAGGAAGGTCATTTATTCTAAGCCCCTTGAAGGCTGTCACACCTTTTCCTAGTCATCAATCATCTTTCCAAACAGGTCTGAATCTTAGAGAGCTGTTTCGTCCCATACAGTAGTCACTAGCCATGTATGGTTAGTGAGCACTTAAAATGTGGCGAAGTCTGAATGGAGATGTGCTGGAAGTGTAAAATACACACGGGATTTCAAAAACTTAGTTAAAAAAGGTTATGAAATATCGTAATGTTTTATACTGCTTATAGTTGGAAATGAGATTTTAGATAGAGTAGATTAAATTAAAAACATTATTAAATTTAATTTCACCTATTTCTTTTTCCTTATTTTCATGTGGCTCATAGAAAATTTCAAATTATTTCTGTGGTTCACATATTTTTATTGGCCATCATAGTCTAATGTATTCATTTTAATGTTATAAATAATATACATGGGCTATTTGAACCAAGGGGAAGCTAAAATGGGATCACTGGTGATAGTTGTTTTATGAAATATTCTAAAAGGCAGACCAGTGTGATGAAATATTTGTTCTTTCTTCTCCCTTGTCTTCCTTTAAAAAAATTATTTATTCTTAGAGAGAGGGGGAGAGAGGAAGAAAGAGAGAGAAACATCGATGTGAGAAACATCGATTGGTTCTCTCTCCTACACGCCCTGACTGGGGACCGAAGGGCAACCCAGGCATGTGCCCTGGCCAGGAATCAAACCGGTGGTGCTTTGCTTTACGAATGACGTCCACCCAACTGAGCCACCACTGGTGAGGGCTTCCTTGTCTTCTTGTAGGTTTTATGTTTTCACCAAATGGCAACAGAATGAACATTTGTCCAAGTCTCCGTCATCTCTCATTGGGATTGTTGCAATGGCTCTCTAAGGGTCTCCTTGTTACCCACCCTACAGCCTGTTTTTAACATTCTGTTGTTAATTAAAAACAGAATGTTAAAACGCACTGGCTTCTAACACGCCTGGTTCTCTCCTGCCTTTATACTTGCTGTTTCCTTTAAATAGACCTTTCTTTCAGTTTGTTTTCTCACCTCCTTTAGGATTTTGTTCAATGTTACCTTGAACCCCAGCGCCCACCCCCACCATCCCATTTCTGGCACCTCCCATCCCCTATTATATTGTTTTCCTCCATAGCACATATCACTACCTAGTGCTGTAAATGTTTTTACTTATTTGTTACCACTCTGTTCTCCTCACTAGAAAGTTTCATTAAAGCAGGGATGTTGGTGCCTGACACAAAGGTGTTCAAAAAATTACTTCATGAGTGAATAACGCCAGCTTTCCTATAGTGGAAGGAATTCTTGGACCTAAATTCTATCAATTCATAGGTATCGTCCAGTGTTACTCGACTTGGTATAGGCTTAAAATACTAAAGCAGTAATGCAATAACTCATGCCTGCCTATCTATACTTACTACATGAAATCTAATTTCAGAAAGGAGAAGTGGAAATCTGCTTCTGCATTGCTACTTCTGAGATTTGCCCAGATCTTTACATTTTATTGGCTAAATAGCAGTGCCGTATTTCTCACTGTCGGTCTTCTGTTCAAGTAGATTATCTGAGTTATAAAACTACCCTTGTCTTCTGAATGGCCCTCAATAAAGCTATTTTCAACTTGAAAGGAATGCAAAAGAGAGAGAGGCATAAATATTTGTATTGTTTCTGAAATGATATTTCTGTCAGTAAACATCCTCACCCCTGTATTAAATATGCCTTCCAGAGGCTGTTGTTTGCCACTTCCTTGAGTGCAAAAGTTCCAGTTTGGTTAGTGGTTGACTTTGGACCTCCAGTGCCTTACCAAACTTTCCCCTGCCTCCCTTACAGTCTTAGGAGAAATGCTGTCCCTTGGTATTTAGGTTCTAAGTAACCCCGAAAATGCTCATAACTGAAAGAACCAAACTTCTTGCCTATGGAGTGTCCTGAACTTCCACTAGAGATTCTATTTTCCCTCTGGCCTTTGTACTTTTGTATCTGCCTGCTCAGATTCTCTATTGCTATTTCTCCTGTCCTAGACCCTTCTAAGAGGCTCTCCGTGCATTCCATCGTTTCAGACCCACCAACCCCAATGTTTCATTCTCTTTCTCTCTCCTGTTTCCCCATGTTTTCTAAATAAACCCCTTTTAAGCCATTGGCCTTTATCAGAATTTAGCTGGAGGTCTCTTGTGTTCCTAGTTACTTTTTATATTTCCATTTATTATACCTCATTTTCAGACAGAGAGCATCGGCTTCTGTGCCACACAACTCTCCTAAGGCAGAGTTACTAATAGGCACTGTTTCCTCTGCTCTTTAGGTCTCTGTTCCTACCTCTGTCGTAGAGTTTGTGGAGGTTTTCTGTTTACACCCTGCCTCCCTGATCAGGGCAAGGGTTACAGTCTTTCATTTCTACATCTCCAGTACCTGGCACAGAGCATATGTTAACAGAGTGGTTACTAACTGAACAAGTCAGCTTTTTAAATATATAGGATTCCTCTTTTACATTTCCCACAAATATAACTAGCCTTTTGAACTCAAGTATGATCTCTAAATTCCTTCCAGAGATTGCGATGTTCTTGAGCATCTTTTTGTCTGTATGGTGTATGAATACATTCACAAGCATTCTGATGATCAGTGTCTGGTCCCACTGAGAATGGGCCATCAACCTTATATATGAGTGGACTTACATATGTGGTACAACTCAGGAGTTTCCAAGAAGAGTCTCCTTTTGAAATCTGTTCTTTTCTGACTAGCTGGCTTATCCAGTTGCCTAGAATTCTATGTCAGGGTTTGATTGCTTTGGATTAAGGTAATTGCTTTATCTTAAAACACACACACTCCTAGAAAGTTTAACACACTAAGCTATATTAATCATTAATAAGTCATCCAGGAGTATTAGTGTAACAGATCCTTCCCAATTGAAAATGAGCTGAGAGTAGAATCTGATGTGAAGGGATGAGGGACAGGAATGTGTGGGGAAGTAGATTTAAAGTACTAGTAACTGGGTAGGGAAGCACAATGGTAAGGCAGGGAGAAGGATGCTGAGAGCCAAGGCCTTTTTTCTCTTTTCTTTTTTGTTTTGTTTTGTTTTGTTTTGTTTTCTACCTTAGGCTCTTAAAAGATGGGCAGGAATCAGTTTATTTATGACCTGGACTCCACAAGGTGTGGAGTTCTAGGTTAGCAAGCCCCAAATCTAGTCTGGTAACCATCTGACTATATCCAGAGATTTGAAACTCAAAAAGGACCTCAGAGATCATTCACTCCTCACTTCCATTATTTTACAGATAAAGAAATTCAAGCCGAAAGGTCTCAAGTTACTTGCCCAGGATCTCAACAAGTCCCGACTAGATCTTGGCCTCCCCGTGTTTCCAGGAAGAACAAGTAAATTATGCTTATTATAATTACCACATAGCCTCTTTTTAAAAACTGGCACTCACTGATTTTATAAGTTGAAATAGGTTCTCCATTCAAGTTAACCACAAACCAGGTCTTAAAAATATATATTCAATCAAAAGTAACTCAGAAATAAATTGGTATAAATTGCACTTACAAATAAGCCACAAATTAAACTAAAGAATATTTTAGAGCTTCTATTATTGACGAGGGCATAACTTCAAATATTGACGAAAGCGTAGCTTCAAGTATTACGCTTTCCAGTTTGAGATCTGTAATACTTAGGCTTGGGGTTCCAAGAAGGTTTTCTGGGAAACTGAAGTGGTGCTTACCTTCTTCCCCAGCATCTGGACTTCTTGTGCAATGAGGAAACGCGAAGGTAGCTATGGGCAGTAGGCTAAGTAGAATCCTAAGTGCAAACATAGTCCAGCAACGATCAAACAAACTAAAACAAACAAAAAACAGAGAAACTCATCAAAAAAGACCCTGGCTCAGTACTTTGAGTTTCTGTAGTGCTCAGAGTCACCGGGCAACTGTGTCCCGCTCGCGGTTTCGGTCACCCGTGTCCGATCCGCGCCCTGAAAGCGGACCCGAGAGTGCCCGGGCACAAATGCCACGCCCCGGGACTCTGCCGGCAGCTGACCTGGCACCTGTCGCCGCGGGCGACCCTCGGCCTCGCGTTCTAGTTGGATCCTATTTGGGGAGGTGGCCCCTCCGAGTACCCCGTTCCCGGCCGGGGCCAAGCTGCCCGGCCGCGCACCTGCAGATCCGGACGCATGTTCCCGCAGCTCGCCGGCCCGAGCCTCGTAGTAGGGTAGTGCCTGCGGCCGCCAGAATCTCCTCCTTGGCGTCCCGGCCAAATATCGGTGACGCTCCGGACCTCGTTCTCCCCAAGGCCTGGGGGAGGTGCAGCGCTCTGGCCGAGGAAGCGCCTGGGGTTAGCGGAGGGGCGCCCTGGCCAGCCCGGGACGTGCGAGACCCGATTTCCTGCCTGGAGCCCAAGAGGCCGCGGAGCCGCTCAGTGGTAAAAGGAGGCAGCGGCTACCTGGGGAAGCACCTGGCGGCGCTCCTCCTCCCAGGGGCCGGCCTACCTGCAGCGGGCGGGCAGTTGGCGGGCGTCTCCTGGATGCTCCCGCTTCGCTCTCGCAGTCACCGAAGCTTCTGCCCGGAGTCCTGGGCGAGCCTGGCTTTCGGCCTCCAGCTTTGGCCCCGCCTTGGCGCGCGGGTGGTTGATTTGATCTTGGTTTTAGACCCGGCTTTTTCTGGGAATTCAGGGAGGCATTTCTAGTTCTCAGTACTCAGACCAGCGCCCTCAGAGCATCCTGGGCTTTTCACTTTGAGTTGCACTAGGCTAGTGGTCCGTCCCCTTGAGTCAACAGTCCTCAAAGGATGACCCGAGAACGAGAATAAAATATGCATCAGAGAAAATTCACTTTATTAGTAATATGAAATGGGAGGTGACGTTAAAATTATTCGGTGACATTGGTTCTCAAATTGTGGTCCTCCAAATCTGGGAAGTCTCCAAGATCTTTTCAACGGCTCTCTGAGATCAAAACTATTTCCTCTATGATAATAAAACATGATTTGCCTTTTTCATTTTAATTATTTATTTATAAAATTAAATCTAATTTAATTTGCAAAAATCAACAAATACATGTTCAGATATGGTTTATCTTCAAACCACGAGTTTGCTTTTGTTTTGTAAGCAAACATGGAATTTAATTTGGTATGCCGAACACCTTCTCTCTAGCTCTTTTTGGAAAAAAATTTTTTCATGATACAAAGGTCCAAGTATTGTCAAAAAACTATTTACATTTTTACCCTACAGTATGGCTAACACTAATATTCATTGAAGGAAAGAAACACTGCAATGCTGGTCTTTGGCATTCATATTTGATACAGCAGTGTAATTAAAAACTTGCAATTGTTTTTAAGATAGACACTTTGAAGGAAATTTAATAAATCTTTCTTTTTTCTCTACAAAGAAGCCACTATATCAAAGCATTTAACTGGAGCTGTAAGTTCCTGCTGGTAGACTATTACTTCAAGACTATTTATTAGGTTTTCTTCCTGTAGCCCAATACATACTCTCCCCCTCCACTGAGTGAAAGCACATTAAAAAAAGCAATTTCTTTTCTCTCCACTGCCCCACCCTCTGGCATCATGCAAGGCAAGACAACATCACAAGTCAAAACATCTGAATTTACTTTGATTATATTTTGTGTATTATACTTAAAATTATTTTGTATTATAATTCTTACTGGGTTATCTAATATCAACACTGTTGATTTTAAATCCTTATAAAGCCAGACTTGGCAGCATTTGAAACAATTTATGAACCATGTCTGGAAGGAGATAATTGAGTCCAGCCTATTCTTCTGCACCTTAAATAAAAGAACTTTAGGTATCAGTAGTTAAGTAAAAAAAAAATACGTTGGGGGCTCATATAATTATTCATGTCTTTATATTGTAAACAAGGATATGATACTTTCAACAGTAGCTTATGAACAAATTTTTAAAAATATATCCTCTACTATGGAATAGGTATCAAGGGAACATTTTTAACATGATTCTGGTAGGTCTCTTATTAGCCTACTTTCCAGAAATATTTTATATGAAATTGTCCAATTAAAAAAAATCTAAAGTCATAAATTTAAGTTGAGAAAATATGGTATGTGAGGTAAGGCCATTTTATTATCCATGGTCTGATGCACAGTGTAACATGTATAAAAGAACCTAAAGAGACATCTATCTCAAATACCAGAGAGGATATAAGAGTGTATAGAAAGGTGAGAACTTTTTAGGGCAGGTAGTGAAAGACACAGTATTCACCTAAAATGATAAGCTGTAAGCAACATATACCTATGTAATGCCAATTCACAGAATGCAAACAAGATCAGTTAGAAAGTGTGCTGTGATAGCCACACATTTTGGAGAAAAATTCCCGAGCCAGGCGGATGTGGATTGGGATAAAAAAAAACGGACAGTATAGACCACCATCGCAAAAACGACTAGTAAGGTGATATTGAATGTGGATGGCTCCCAGGGTTGGTATTGACAGTAGAGCCAGGAAAAATAGTTCATCACACGCCTGAAATCCATGGTTGGCTCCTTCAAGCTACAGAAAGTCCTTCCTACCGAGGAGGGTCCAGGTTTGGATTCTTGTCCTTGCGCCTCCACGGAATGATCCTGGGTTACTTCAGAGTTGCTGCCGTTTCTTCATTAACTGGTTGAGCGTATCTTCTTGAGCCTTAGGTGAGCACCGGTGCTTTGGCGCCTGTCCCGGTGCTGTGAGCTTCCCACTGCGCTGGCTGCCTCAGAGCTTCCCAGAACTGGGTGTTCAGCCCTGTTGTCTACACTATTGCCAAAACTCCAGTTCAGCCAGACTGATTCCAGTGATAAATTATTTACAAAAGGAAAACACTCCCACGCAAACTTGTGTCTAACCGTGCTGCTCCCAGAGACTCCTTCCAGCTCATTTCCATTCTCTCATTAATGTACAGTAGAAATTTCCAGAGGCCATATGACATATAATGATGTTATCACTCTGCTGACTAACAGAATGCCTGCATACGCATTCTTGTGTTTTCTGTGGTAGTTAAGGATCAGTATGTGTATTTTTATAAATTAGAAAAATTTATAAAGATTAATAAAATGTTTCTTCTTAGTATTTCTGTGATTTTATTACACAGCTATCTTTGGTTAGGATAGCTATAACCTCATTATTATCAAATAAACAGTTATCTTGAAATCTTGAATTTTTCTTCAAGTCTATACAGAAACATGACAAAAAGTAACTACCCGTTGTTGCCTTGCTTTGAAATAATATTTTGAAAATGCCTCAGTTTAAATATGGAATAGGAATACCCTTAGATGTCATTCACATAAGTGAAAGCTCTTTGGGCCTTTGATAATATTAAAGCGTATAAAAGGTCCCAAGACATAAGAGTTTGGGAACTGCTGACATAAATAACGAAAGACCACGGGTGGACAGAGACCTCTGAAGGATGGTCTCATCCTTCTTGTTCCAAATGACGTGCTTAGCAATTCTTTGAAACATCATTTAAAACCTTCCATCCTTTGGCCAAAGTGGCTTGGCACTTGCTGGAAGCCAAAGGAAACATCTTTTCCCCCTTTCTAATCTTTTATTAATTCAATTTTCACCAATTTGTTTTTCTCCCACAAAGGTTGCTATTGTCTATTTTACCCTAATTATTTAGGATCAGTTGTATTCTTGAGTCTTCTGCAGGAAATTTGTGTTCACTGGTTCCTTCTAGACAGTGCTTCCCCACCCCCAACAGCTTTCCCCTCATTTTCATTTGTTCCCCTCGTTCTCTACCGCGCTCCTATCACATAGACCTTCTCTCACTCTTAATTGTTATTGTTCTCAAACAATTGGGATCAGACTGTGAAGAGACTAAAATGATTTCTTGTGGTTGATATCATGTAACAAAAAAATGTCTTCAATAGAATACCCATTCTTCTATTAATTCATTCATTTAGCCAAATTACATCACTAAAACCTACGGACAGAGATAATCACCATCATCCCTATTTTGGAGAAGAGTGTAATTTAAGATCTATATATAAGAACGCGGGCCTATAAAGTTCTCATCAAGAGCAAGACCTGACTTGTTTGTCCTTGTATCTTCCACAGTACCCAGCAGAGTGCCTTTTATGTTGTTCGTTTTCAATATATTTTGGGGGGATGGAGGCAATCTATTTTCATGTAGGAAAAGTACTTCATACTATGTTGGGAGTGAGAAATGGTCAGATTCCTCATGCTGTGGAATCAGCAGATATGAACTTTAATGACATTCCTTGGTAGAATGCATCCACCCACATATCTGGATATTTGAATCAGAACAAATGAGGCTTTGTATTCACATGGCATATCAGAGTTTACGGGCAGATATAGAAATGAGTGTTTCTCAGTAGTGAAGTACATCTCTGCATGTTTCCCTGTAATATTGGATCCTAAAGAATATGACAGCATTTGGCAGTATGCACACAAACCCCAGACACTGCGGAACTGCAAGGTATTTTGAGATTAGATAGAAAAAAGAGTATAATCAGACAACATTGTCCAAGATTGTTGATACTTGCTATATTAATTTTCTTATTTTGTACCATTTGCTTGTGAAAGTCACAATATTCTTACGCCTTTCTTCCAAAGCATTTTAAGTGCTCTCACTGTGGCCATCCACGGAGTTGGGTTAGATATTATGATTCTCATTTTACAAAGAAAGATACCAAAGCATGAAGTGAAAAGTCTTGGATGGTTGTTGGCCAAGCATTAGCCTGGCTCTTGACTCTTTGAAGCATTTTTTTTTTCTGAGTTATTACCAAACAATGAAGAGCAGTAGGTGAAGAATTATTTAATTCAAAAGAAATAAGAAAAAAATCAGAGCAATGAGATTAAAATATTTGGATTAATGTGATAATGCATCTTGGAGTTTGAGCACATACCCACCCACCTACCTGTGTGAATTCAAGAATGAAATGGAAACCCGTTTTACTGTGTGGGCATGAAGACTGACGCAAGGACCGTGACAGGAAATGTTAGGGCTGTGGCCACGGAGCTCTTCCGGCTGAGATCACATTTACATCCTTAAAGGCACACTGATGACTATCATTCGATGACTTGGACCAGGAGATGGGACTTTACTGAACTTGATAGTTCTGTGACATTTTAGCCTTGACATTTCAACATGAATTGTTTGCAATTTTAATTTATCCCAGTAAAATCAGCAGGGGGAAATGGAAAGACTCCCAGTGTTCAAGGGTGATTATATGTTCGTATGCAGGTATTTTCAGATTCAACAAATAGGTAAAGGGGTTAAAGACATTATTTTAAACATTTGGTTAAAGCCCTCTAAAGGAACTTTTAACTAGAATTCATATTTAATTCTCTCGTTTAAGAACAACTGTTAATAACAAAGGAAATAAACTGAAAAACAGTGTGAAAGGTTATCTGGTTTCTTGCCACACTGTGGAAAGTAATCAGAGCTACATGTCAAGCTTTAAAAAAAGATAGTTATCCTGTGGTGAAGGCCAGGGGAAGGGCAGGTGGCGGGGAGGGGGGGGGCGGTGCTGGG